AAGCCAGTTAAGTCAGACAAAATAAGGACAAAATAAGGCCTCTTTGGTGAATTTAGTTACTTCTGAGGGACAAACCACTGTGTAATCATGTGACTGGTTGAAGAAACCTATGGAAAATGCATATGCATAACAGCAGTGGGTTTTCAATAATAGTCTTAGACCATCTCCTAACACTTGGGACACCTGGCATCAGACATCTCTTGTTTTCATGAACCAGTGCACTAACAAAATTCTAGACAGTCTTTCCTGAAAGCAGAAGCCCAAGCAATGACAAGTGTGTAGCCTGTTCAGGATATCATTCATGCAGGGCCGGCTGCTTTGCCTGTCGAGCCTGCTTGGATGCTGCGGGTAGCTGTGAGAGTAAATGTTTGGGTGTTTTTGATAAACACTGTTAACAGCTCAGTGACTGCATTATCTGCAAATCTTATGGCCCAGATAATGCTGATAGTCAAGTAGTCAAGCACTGCATGAAAAACTAAACTGCTCTAGGCCCCCATGAAAAGAAACTTCAGCAAGGCACATTCCTATGCTCTGTGGACAGGCTGGAAGGCGTGCAGTCTTCTTGATGCTCTGACCAGGCTGTCAGTTAGGAGGGAAGAAATAAAAAACTGCTTCATTTCATTAAAGTGTGAAGGTTTTTTCCTCCTTGTGCTCTTATCCCTTTGATTTTTACCATTTCTACTGAAATCTCCTGAAAGGAAGTGCTTTATTGTGATAAGTAATGGTTGTATAATTTAAAAATACCATAGGCTATTTTGGGCTATGATCCTGAAACTCTTCACTTTGTTTTAATGATTAAGCAAAGTATTTTTTAAGACCTTTGAGATCTTTTTTGAAACATATGTGGAAAATACCTTCTTAAAATGTCACTATCTCTACAAAAGCAGCAGGCAGGGCATGTTCACTTACTTCTCACTCTTGTATCTAAACAGTTACATGTGCTTAACACTACTTTCATACCTTGTTCCGCTGATTTATCAGATTGGATCACAGCTTGCTGAAAAGACTTGAGTGTGTGGCAGATGTTAAGGGTATGTTGGTGGAGTATTCATTGTAGGGAACCAACAGTTTGTGTGCAAGTTGGTAAGCCTGCTTTGACCCCGTTTTGTTAAACTGTCTAACTCTTGTTAACCACAGGTTCTCCCCAGGCTGTTGGACGATGGGAGTGTGCAATATGTCCAGGCCTGTCTGTACTTGGAAGAGTGGTTTGCACGAACTAGGGCTGTTACATGTCTCCTTACTTCTGCTCCTCTCTGTGTGGATTTAAAAGTTATAATTCCTCTGCATTGGCTTGAACCCACTGCACTCCAATGCCTCAAATGAGGCAATAGGAAAATGCCACTGAAACTTCTGTTCAGAGAAGGGTGAAAGCATTCAAGACAGCTGCAAAACATTCACCCGTACTTTTCCCCTGCCCGTGCACTGTGCCCTCACATGAAATAGTAGAACCATTGCTGCTGTTGTATCAGCAGCTGAAAAGGATTGATATGTATTTTTTTCATTTTCCTTACCCTTTTTTTTTTTTTTTAGCCAGTAGATTGCTTTATTTAGTCACCCCCACCACAAGATAGGACTGTCAGGGCTAGTGAGGTGTTGGTGTGCGGTAGGAATGAGTGGTTGGCAGACGAGAGGGGAGGTAGGGGATGTTAAGCCAGCCTGGCTACCAGAGGAAATGTCTGTGAAACTGTGCTTTGAATATTTTTTAACAGAAAAATTCCCCACACAGCTTTCCACAGCTGCTGTTGTGAAACCAGTCAAGTCAGCCGTCATCCAGGTAGTTCAAATCCTGGAGCAGTCTGTTTTCAAGTATACTAGGATTTCAAGTTTTGGGATCTCAGGCAAGCTGGCACCATACCTTCCTTGAGCTCCAAAAGTGTAGCACTGAACAAAGCGGGTGGCTGGTCTATGGTGTGGAGACCTGGAGTCGTGGGAGGTTAGTGTGAGGGGGCTGGCTGGTGGTAAGGATTTGTGGAAAGCATAAGTATTTGTGTAGTGTTTGTAATTATTGTCAGACTGTGATGTTCACCTGGTGAGGAGATGTAAAGATAGAGGGGCAACTGAGGTGGCTTGTGCTTGTTGCCTGACTTGTGGGAGCCTTTGGACGAGACGGACTTGAAGCCAGAACCTGCTGCAGCATGACAAACTCCTGCCAGAGAAGCCTGGCTTTCAAATGCCATTGCACTGGGCTTTTGAAGACCCTGGTCTTGGGAGGATCAGAGGACTTCAAAGGAGCTGTATGGACGTGGATTTTCAAGGCCTGCCAACTGGCAGTGGTTACAGACCTTTGATTGTTTTTTGGGTTGTCTCTGTCCTAAAAACTGCACGGCATCTTGCTTCTGCAGAACACATTCATTGGAGGAGTTTTTATTTAATGATAATCTAAATCTGTAAAAAATTTGACATTACATGCTTTTTTTTCACAGCCTTTTTTTTTTTAACATGAGAATTTGTTACTGTCTTAAAGTGCTTCAAGTGCTGAAGTGGATTTTGAGCCCCTGGGCAAGACCATTGCTGCAGTCAAAAGGCAGAGGTGAAGTGAGATGGGCCATACCTCCAGTAAAGCATCAGAGGATCTGTGTAGCTTAGCTGTACATTGACTGCAACTTTTTAATAGAGAACTCTTTGTTTATGGGGGCTTTGAAGTCTGTCACCCAAAGATAACATCTTTGAAACCTCTTTGGTCAGTAGGATGTGGCCAGCATTTTACTCTTTGGGTCAGAGACTGTTCTCATTTATTTTTGGATAACACCTAATTCATCTTGGCCTAGTCTAGAATGTATTTAGTTACAACCAGAGTTTAAAAAAGAAAAAGAAAAAAAAAGCCTCACAAAAAAACCCAAACCACCAAATTTGGGACTGCGGCTGAATAATGTAACCATGGTTTCTATGGCTACTTAGACTGTTTAAAGAGGTGCATCTGGAAAAAGATGAAGACACTGGTATTTTTGACCAAAATCTGCAACTTATAGGGTATGTGCTCAGTATTAGAAACTATCATTAAAGTCTAAGTAATGTGGAACAGTACATAAATGAGCTATATATTCTATTTAAGCATTTGTTGTTCTAAGTAGCAGCTCCAGGGACCCAGAAGTAGAATAGCAGACATGTTGCTGGATGTAGATGAGATATTACTGACACAGCTCTCTAGCACCTGGTGTAGGAAAATGTTGTTCCCTTTACAAATGCCAAAGCTGCATTTACTTCTATACTGTAGTTTTTGATGTTATGCTAAGGCCAGCAGTTGAAGTTCATTGTGGAGACTTTGGATATGACTCATATCAAATCCTTTCAGGTCCAAAGGACCTTTAGTCTTAACCTTCCCCCCCCCTTAAATCTGAAGTGGGTGGATTATACTTTCCTGGTATGCATTTGTTTTTAATTGTTATTATTCCATTTGCTTGTTGAATTGGTAATTTGATGTAGCTTCCTTATTTCCCAGGCTTGTGTTGATGCTGTAAAAGGTAACAATTTCAATACATGTAAAAAATAAAATTGATATTTAGCCCACCACTGCCTTCTATTTTGAAAGCACACTTGCACTGTGTACTTTTGCACATAGTATTTTTAATTTCTGGCTTTGGTGCCAATATGAGCCCATGCTGTTTATTCCCCACAGCTGGAGCTTTGTGTTTTGGGGAGGATTTCTGTTTCGCAGCAGCAGCAGTTTTAGCAGCTGTGTACTTTGAGGCCCCTTCTCTGGCTTGTTATCCGACAGTGAAGTGAGAGAAGAGCAGTGTGGGAGCAGGGTTGGACTGCCCCCATTTTATGTCTTCTGCCAGCTGAAGACATTGCTGAACAAGGGAAGGACCTGTCTGCCACCCCCTTTCTGTGGAACTGAAGGCAGGAAGCCCGAGCTGGAGTGTTGCAGAGGTAGTCATGGCAAGGAAATGATAAGCTGGGAGTCAGTCTTTTAAAGACACTTCATCAAAACAATTTGGGGCTCTTGGATCAGTCAGTCTGGTTGTGGAGTTATATCAGATATGTGTGTCTGCAAACACACACATGAAACCCCCTCCTCCTTATCAGATAAGTCATTGTTGCTGGAAGAGAAAGTGTCCTGGGGGGAAAATAGCATGTGGTGGTTTGGAACCTGATGGCACATACAAGCCAGTGAAGTTTGCCTGGATGACACAAAGGTGGCACTTGTGCATTTTGAGTCCCTTGGCAAGAATCCACCTTGTACAACTGCTTACTGAAAGCAGAAGGTCCTCTGAATGTTCCCATGACCCCTCCAGAGGCTCAGGAAACACTGGGAAAAAGCAGCCTTGGTGTGCTCAAGCCCCAGGCACCATACCTAGCCACAGTGAGTCCCTTGAAATTGGGAGTACAGCAGGGTGAGGTTACTCTGGGTTGGCAGCAGTGAGGTTCCCTGCTCATGGCTGCCTATTGGTGTCTAAAAACCCTCCTGTGGTCATGGCTGGTGGGTTAAGCACAGAAACCATATGAAGCTGCTGCCTATTGCAAGGAAGGGCCTGGCCAAGGACAGTGCTGCCTAATATATAAAAATAAGGCTTACATTTATATTTTTATATATCACTTTTTTAAAAGTAGAAGGCAGGGAAGGTGAGTCCAGCTTCTTTGAAAGTTAATGATACTGTTGACAGCAAGAAAGTAATGAGCATCAAGCTAAATTCCTTTCAGGATTTGTTCATACCTTTTTCCTTGTTGAATACATGCTTTTTGGTATGCTTTGTAGTTTTTGTCTTGGAGGACTCTCAGTTGTGAGTAGAAAAGAACTGAAGTATACAAGGAATTCTGTCTCTCATCCTTAGCAAATGTGAGAAAGCTAGACACTGATGTGCTTAAAAGTATTGACTTTTCACAAACAAGACTGTCTGCTTCCAGTTAAATGCTGCTCAGCTGGAAGGAGAGAACTTGAGAAATTCTGGCATTTTACAAGAAGTCTCCCAGCCTCCTTTTCTAACTTTTGCAACAGAAACCTGAAGCTGGAGTTCTTTGGTGGTTTTTTGACTTGTGTTTTTTTTTGTCTTACTTTCCAGTTGGCCTGTTGCTGTGGTACTGCTGCTTGTTCCTTGTGCTGCAAATGCTGCCCAAAGATAAAACAGTCAACCAGCACCCGCTTCATGTACGCACTTTACTTCATCCTGGTGACTATCATCTGCTGTGTCATGATGTCAACAACCGTAGCTAACGAAATGAAAATGCACGTAAGTAAGAGATCAACTCACTCCTGCCTCTGGAAGGAAAAGGGGCTCCTTCCACAATTCTTTGTGTGTAGGGGCACTTCCTCAGTAGAGGCAGTTGATTTTCTCCACCCATCCACTTCCAAACTCAGACATGATGATTTACCATGCTCACCCTCTTCCTGTCACCCGCTGAGTATGTTTCACAACAGGAAGTGTCAAGGCCTTCCTCTCCTATTGTGCAAAAATCCGCTGGAGCGCACCCATTGCAGGTTTGCTGCACAGGTAGTGTCACAAGAGGCTTACTAGGGAGCTTTTTATAGAACAAATCAGTTCAGTCTAACGTTGAGTTTGTCTCTGGCAGCTTGTTTGCTAGCAGAAGCAGAAAATTAGAAAATAACTCTTCAAGTGTTATAATTTTAATTCTGTGTTCTCGGTGCTGTATGACAGACTACTGCAAAGCACAGTGCTGCAGAGCCTTTACAAGGGCTTTTCTTCAGTGTGTGTTGAGTCATTGGCCTCTAACAACAGCAAATATTGTTAATCTCTAGTTGTCTTTTTAATTAAAGATCTTCAAAAGCATGAAAGGAGCTGTGGCTAAACCCAGATTTTAAAACTCAAGTTTCTTTCAGAGTCTTAATATAACTTTCCTAAGTGAAATGCTCACTTAGCCTGGTATCGCTCACACACAGTGGACCTGTTGTATCATATATTTGGTACAAGCCACCACTAAGCCACCTGAGTAGTGTAAGTCCTCTCTCTCACCCTCTACCAACTACAAGAATGTAAGTCTGTTTCTAAGCAGATGGAACAATGGCTGCATGGCTTAGTTCTTAAAAATTAAGGTTCTGCACCAAACACATCATTGAGCCTGCTTCAGGGTTGTGAATGTGCTTGTCCTGGAGGTTCAGAAGGCTTCCCTCGCTGCAGGCATGTAGTTGTTTTGTGTTCCCCTCCCAAGAGAGTGCTGTGGGTGCATGATTAGGGCTGTTTCCTCACTGAATCGGTTGCTGGACAAGCTGATGCCCTGCTTAAATCCTGCACTTTGTTTTTGGTTGTCTCTGAAACACTTTCCTCCACAGCATCCCAGATCCAGAAGCTGGTGGCAGCACTCTCTCCCTGCAACACAAATGAGCCAGTGGGCTTATGGTGGGCTAATTTGAGGGCTTCTGTGCTCTGTTGCCAGTGACCTTTCTTTCTTCCCGTTGTACCCTCTTCATATATTCTGTCCTAATTTTCTTTCATTTAATAGCACTTTGCGTGAATTATCCTAGTGCCACCTTCTTATCCCGGGCCACCAGAAGTTTTGGGTTCTCCTGTAGGAGAACCCAGTGCAGACGTGATGCTTGCCTGTGAGCTGTGACTTGAAAATTGTTCAACATGTGTGTTCTGAAATTGCTTGCCAGGAGTTTCTTTGACTTACTAGATACTTAGCTTGGCAATAAAGTGAATAAGCCAAGGAACTAGAGTATGTGGGAGACAAATTATGTGCTCATATCCAAATTTCATAAAGTTGTTTTCCATCAGTCATGTGGTTTTAATGCAGCTTGTATCCCTAACAAAAAAATACTCCTTACCCAACAGAAAAGTGATACAAGAAGCCTTCAACAACATGCTTTTCAGTATTGCCAAATTTCTTTTACAGTTTATAGTATTGAAAGCTCAGTGTGGGAGGAAATGGCACAAAGAATAGCTGTTAGTGTGAAGTGGAAAGAGAATCACCCTCTTAGTTTAGAGCATTTGAAATCTTTGAATGGGAAATGGACCATCTGAAAGTAGGCTTTCTTTATCTGCTCTCTAATTTAATAATTATGTTTATAGCTGTTAAAAGTTCAAAGACCCCTGAAGTTAATTCAGCCCAGTTGTAATAGAGCTCACCTTGAAAATATTTGTTCCAACTAACCAGTCTCAGCTTGCCAGCGATGAACTGGGTTTTGAAAGTGTGGGATCAAGGAACACTCCTAGCTCCTGAAGCCAGACTGTAAGCAAATGCTTTGCATGATGTTTCTGGGACCTCACCTTCTTGGCTTTTTTTGAGAGAAATCAGAATTTTAATTAATTAGATTTTTTAAAAAAAAAGTTTGTATTAAAAAAAAATACAATTTCAAACTGTAGTGCTGTCCTTTATGGAGACATAATCTTAACAAGGAATCATGTCTGCTTTATCAGTTTAGAGTTCAAATACTCATGCTGATCTTAGATGACAGAACTCTGTCTTTTGGTCAGTAAGAGCGTCTGGGTTTTGGTTTTTTTGGTTGATTTGCTGTAAATTTCCAAGTCTAAAGTAGTTCTAAAGGTATTGTAGCACTTGGTCCTTTGGCGTTATTTTGCAAGGAAGCAACAGCAAATGTACATCTTTTATGGACACCTTAATCAGAGACCTTTTAAAAATGTTTGTATTTGTTTTGCAGTATTTATCTACCCCCATGGTCATGCATTCTGTCTATTAAAAGACATTTAGGACTTTTTTTAGTTCCCAAGGTGCCAGACTTTACAGGGCCAGCTCAGAGCTGAGGATGTACTCTGTGCCCTATGACATGGCTGGAAAAAAGAGGAGTCCCAGGGAGCTCAGCTTCCACAGCCTTACCAAAGGTGACAGGTAGACAAAACAATGTGTCACTGGGAAGACAGGGTATCTGTGAAGTATTTGGGTACTGTTTCAAAACCTTGGTTCCTAATCTAACCAGCACCTTTTTATGGACATCCTTTTTCTGTGGTAAGCCTTAGGAATTGAACAGTGTCCTCTGAGGAAACCTTCTCTGTTAAGGTTTTCACTCTTCCCCATCTCCTGAGCTGTTCCAGTGCCCACAGGACACCAAGGGAGAGGGGCCTAAAGGGTTAAATTCTGAAATATTTGCAATGAAACCAAGGTATTTGTGTTTGATCTCTGGGGAAGAAGCAAGAGGCAATGGAGGGGCAGGGAAAGAGGCTATGGTTTTGACCAGGAAAATACTTTGAATAGTAGGATGCAAAATTGAATTTAGCGGAGCAATATTGTGTATCAAGGCAAAAGATGGGGTGGTTCATCAATCAAGACATGAGAGCCCTAGCAATGGGGACAAAAATACAGAAAAGACCAATATGCAATTACACAAAATGGTTTAGAGACTTGACTCTGTTGCAAAATTAGGCAAAGCAGAACCCAACTTGAAGTGCTTCTATGCCTTGATCCCTATGTTATTTTTTTTCCAGTTATGTGAGTTTGGATTTTTTTAACAGATACAGCTTTACTCACAAGTGGTCTGTTGAAGCAAAACCTTGAATTTCACAGGCTTCAAAAGGGTAATTGAGAGAAGAAAAGAGACAGAATTGTTTTGGTCTCTCAAAAGAGTGTTTTCAAATTTTTTTGTTGTTTTAATTGAATTTTTAATGTTAAAGCTATTTAAAAACTAGTGGTTTCAGTCTGAAAATATCAATATCCTACTTAACTAAAGAAAGGAAAAATAAGAAAGATGTTTTCAGGAAGGCAAACACCAGGGAAACTCATTTCATTTGCGTGAAAGCATTTCAGTACTGGATGGTTACACATTCTGGCAGAACGTGCTTTCAGGCTTGTTTCCTCAGCTAGGTTTATGTCTTGGTCCTTAACTGCATTATTGTATGTTATACCCCAAATTTGTTACCAAAAATAAGCTAAGTTTTTAAGTGCAGATGCCCATTGTTTATTTCTGATAAGAATTTAGCCATAGATTCAAGATAACATGTGTTTTGGTCCAAGCGTTTTTTAGTTTTTTATTTAGTTTCTCAGCCACTCATGATATGTTTACCTGGCTTTTTGCTCTTGTTTTTCCACCTACATAGATTTTTTTTCATGCTTCTTCCTTTTCCATAATAAAGTCTGTCTGCCGTATTCTCCGTCTTTGGATGAGGACATCCAGATGAAAGCATTCTCTTTCAGGCCCATTTCTACACACTTCTTTCTTCCTATTCTCCCCCTAGCGCTGTTTCCCACACTCCTGCACTCACATGTTTGGGTGCAGACAGACCCAAACTCTGAGGTGGCCAAGCCCCCTCAGGCTGGTGCCTGGATGCACTGTGGCCATGTTGGCTTGCTTTTTGCACTGCTGTGATTTCAGGTGCCTGCAGCTTGCAGTGAGGGCAAAGCAAGTTCAGGGCAGTCTCTCCCTGCTTCTGTAGATGTTGCTCGAAGTCGCTGAACATCTCAAAGGGCTTCAGTGCATGTTGGAAAATTACAGACTTAGCTGTGGTAACATCACTGCTTGTACAGCAGCTGAGGCGCTTATGTTATTTGATAGGATACCGAGTTTCTGCAACAAGAATGCTTTGTCCTCTACTCAGTGGCCAAAGAATTTAGCTTAAGTTGCTTTTAAAGGTATAAAAGTAGATATTTCACTGTATCATGGCAAATGTAATCTGTGACCTAACAGCTGTGAAAACTATCCGGCAAATGGAAAGCATGGTAAACCACCATGGAAAGCATGGTATATAGGGTGAACAGGTTTCTCAGCAGCTGAACATGTTTCAGAGATACAGATTTTAAAAAAAAAAATTAGTCTTTTTTATTTTTCAGTGAAGTCACATAAGCCTTGATAAATTGTTTCCAGCAGTAGACCAACCTCTCACAAAAACATCAGTCCTATTGTCCTCAGCATTGTACTTCTGTTTATTATCTGCTGGCATCCCCAAGCATTCGGTATTATTCTTGTTTTGTGGCCATCACTTATTACTGCATAGTGTTGTGGATACTACATGATGGCTGAGCTCTTTATTTGTGTAGGCACAAACTGAGCTATTGTTCTTGTGAATCTATCTATTTTCTCTCAGCCAGATCTGTAAGGAAATTACTCCTTAATGGAGAAAAGAACATATAGGGTCAAAAATCCCATCAGTATGCAATTAAAGAAGATGGCCATTTATGGTTACCAGAAATTTGTTTTTAGTTAGCTAGACAATCAAGTCCTATGGTTTTGGGTTTTTTGTTTCATTCTGTAAGTCTTGTAAGCAAAATCATGCTTGGTACTAAGAACGGATCTTGCAGAAATCTGTCCCCTTGGTGAACACTATCAT